GAGAGAGAGAGAGAGAGAGAGAGAGATATTATTATTTCCTCCAGTGTTAAAACTGAATCTGATGCAGTATTCTCCTCTGACGAAAATCTAAAATCTCGAGAACTGACAAGGTAAATCTTTTACGTAACATTACAGTCTCCATATATATGAACCTGGTAATCTACACCATAAGGAATGCAATGTTCAAAGGGACAGGGGGAAGAATATGATTAGCTTGGAATATATCCTGGAATATAATTGAAGCTGTCGTACTGAGGAAATTGAAACAAAGAGAGGTACATATACACATGACACATTTTTTAAAAATGGTTCATTCAAAACGTCCAAACTACCTATTTATTGTAAGTGACATTAGAACGAAGTATAGATTTACAAATAACAAACACTGCTACAATTTGAAAGATCAGCCAAGCGAAAAGTAATCCAGCGAAAATGCCCCCCACCCCCTAGTTTTTTCTTCTTCTCTCAATTGCTGTTATCGAGTTTCTAATGACCGAAGGGCTTATCAGCAAGGTAAAGATAAAGGTAAATACAGTTGCCTGTTGTTTTAAAAGATATCCTGAAAAGACCACTTTTGTTATCAAGTAGGGGATTGCCATATTATTGATTTCTGAGCAGTGGAACATGTTAAACACTGAGAGACTGTTTTGTCTGTAAAGCCCTAAGGCTTAAAAACACGCTTTATATTTTCTGAAGATTTTTGTGTCCGTTTTTCTCTATTCTCTCGCTAGTTTTTCCTTGTCTTTTTCCAATGATACCCCCCCCCCCCCGACAAATAGCAAGACACAGGCAAGATTTAGAAAGATCAGAGTGACATCAAGGGACAGCGTATTCAACCTACGAATGATCATTAAGAAGTACCAGGGCGTAAATACCAGTTTGCACACATGATTCATCGATTCTTCAAACCCATTCGATTGCACAAACCATGAACTCATGAGGCAAACTGCGAGAGACGAACTTTCATCCAGAGCTGATTGATCTGATCAAATTCCAGCAGTGGCTTGTGCAACTTGAATGCGCAACATCGGAATGGTTTCCTTTTACAAAGGTGTGGGACAAGGATACATGCTTAATCACAACTCTTCAGCATAGATACAGAGGGAATAATGTGGGAAATAGAACATGAATCAAGAAAGGATAAATATAATCATATCTTTTTTAACGCAGATAGTGTAATCTCACAGGGCTAGAGCTAGACAGGTAGATTACAAAAATCGACAGTTTGAAAAGAGTCCCGTGTTAATAAGAATTGATGAGGAAGAAATAGAAAGCGTGAGAAGCTTTGAATATCTTGGAGCTAAGATTGATGAGAAAACAACCCCAGATATTAAACGAAAAGTTTCAATCGCAGCATCAAAATTAATAAAGATTACATCCATCTGAAAAGGACAATCGGAAAAGGACAAAGCAAAGATACAGAATAAAAATTCCCAGACGTTACACACTGACCACAGAAATTACTGAAGAAGAAGAAGAAGAAGAAGAAGAAGAAGAAGAAGAAGAAGAAGAAGAAGAAGAAGACACCTGTGTACTGCTGGGTCCTTAGAATGAAGCAAAATCCCCACTCCCCTCTAAAAAAAACCCAAAAGCGATGGCACAATACTAAAGAAATGTAACACAATTAAAACTCGAAAAGCAATTAAATAAAACGCACCTCGCTGTATTTATTTCACTAACAAATCACATGGACAGGAGAATCTTCTGAATTCGCAGAACAATGCACATATTCCGGCAAACCTATAATAAAATATGTCAGCTCTCTTAAATGAAGTCGAGAATTCAAATGCCAAAGACGCACATCCGACTAATCTACATAACACGTGAAATCATTAGGTCGAGTGGAGTGTGTTTAAAAGCAACATGCGCGAGTGTATAAAACGTCTTGAACTTCTCTTTCGGACGCGAACTTGTGTCAGGGTCATATATAGATGTTTCGATTGTGAGGCTAAAGGACAGGAAAAAAAGAGACAGGGAGGAAGGGGGGGGGGGGGCAAGTGATAGAAGTGGAGTCAAAGAAATTGTATAACCTCGACATCTTTATTCATCAAACCCCGAAGATCATTAACCTCAATATTCCCAATTAATGTGGCTGGAGAAATCTTGGGAGCAAAACTGTTGACACGGTTGCAGAGAATACAAATGAGCAGACTTTTCTTTTCAGTAAGGCAAATGCCCGGAGCGAGTTTGGATTATGTATTCTAATTTATTCCATTTTCATTTTGCTGCGCTTATTTAACATCTACATATTTGTTGTTCTCTTCCCAGACAATGAAATACAAACAAACAAACAAAACACCAGAAAGTCCGAACTTTAGTCCTTATCAAATCACATCCCCAAACTTACAAACTCTCTCGCTTCAACTACACATCACTTTTTACAGGCCGTTTCGCGAGTAACAGGAAGCTACATTGCCAAGGCGTGTCTTATCGACGACGAATCCAGTGGTTTTCTTGGTTTCTGCTCTATCAAACAGCGTTCAGAGCACTTCCGGCAGTGTATCTGTGCTTGGGGGGCAGGGGAAAGGATGATAACATCTTTTTTAAACGCAACTGGTGTAATCTCATAGGGCTTGAGCTAGATAGATAGAATACAAAAATTAACAGTTTGAAACGAGCCCCGCGTGCCTCCCATGTATTTCGATTGAAACCGGAAAAAATATTCTCTTTTCTGAATTATGAAAACAAGAATTGAATTCAAAGAACTTCCTAACACAGTTTGTTCCCTAATATTTCAAACCCTTAAAACGTTTCCAAAAGCAAGATACACGGGTTAGGCTGTGGTAGGTGGCTTGCGATTTTAAAAGAAGCATGTTTGTAGAGCCGGCAAGAAAAGTGCCTCGACATTTTCCGTCCCAGATGCTGCAGCAAGATCTTAGACATTTCGTGGCGTGACAAGGTAACCAATGTTGAAGTACTGAGCCGGGCAAACCTCCAGAGCGTGACAACTATCCTGTATTTAAGAAGATTGAGATAGCTGGGCCATGTCATGAGAATGGACGACAACCGAATTCAGACCCAACTTTTCTATGGAGCACTTGCACAGGGAAAGAGGCCAAGAGGAAGGCCAAAATTGAGGTACAAAGACACCTGCAAAAAACAGCTTATTCAAGTTTGGAGTCGATGCCAGAATCTGGGAAGAAATAGCTGAGGGCAGGTAAACATGAAGGAAAATGATGAAGGAAAGAACTATAACGCTAGAGAGCAGCCTCAGAAGCGCCAACGACAAAAGGAAACTAGCTGAAATACAGAGTTTCGATCTACGTCACTGACATGCAAGCACCGCAACAGAATCTGCGCTTCAAACTTAGGAATAATTAGCCATGAAAAAAGTTGCATGGAGGCAACCTTGAGACAATCATAAGCTAAATTGATCGTCTGCACAGACGAAAAGAAGCCGTGCAGTCTAGGCATTGAGAAGAATAGGACTGACGTGGTGCTAGCGTGTCGTACGAGGCGACTGAATGGCGAACCAGGTAGTGACTCCTGAAATAGAGTCATCCTGCCTCCAGGTCGGGGGTTGAGTCACGTGGCTAACAACCTCTCTCATAAAAAGAGCCTGTTACAGAAACAAATACAAGCAAAAACCATTATCTCTGCTTGGCTGATCGTGGATCTTCTCCAAATGGAGAGTTTATGATGCAAAGCAGTGAAAGCCGAAAGGAAGCTGCTGGGCAGAAGACTCCACCATCATCCAAGTCCAAGTCTCTTTGGATCGGCTCGTGGAACGCTAGGACCCTTTATGAGGCTGGAAAAGCTGCACAAGTTCTCCAAGAAATGCACCGATACCAACTACACATACTGGGAATCAGCGAGACCCACTTGAACCAGTCTGGACAGAAGCGAATGAAAGAGGGGGAGCTTTTCGTTTATTCAGGAAATGACAGTGATGGACCACACAGGGAAGGAGTAGGGATGATCATATCAAAAACAGCTTAAACGACATTCAGGGGCTGGGAAGCACATGGTCCAAGGATCATCATGGCTTCATTTGGAACCAAGAAAGAACTCTAGGTAAGAGATGGTAGGAAGAAGGTCATTAACATGAACATCATACAAGTGTATGCTCCAACCAATGATGCAGAAGTGGAGAATAAAGATGACTTCTACAACCGCCTACAGAACGTCATCGACAAACTTCCAGGTAAAGACATCAACATTGTCATGGGAGATCTAAATGCGAAGGTAGATTCGGACAATAGTCACAATGAGGAAATCATGGGCAGACACGGATTAGGAGAGGCAAATGACAACAGAGAAAGGTTCCAAAACTTCTGTACATTCAACAACTTGGTCATTGGAGGTACAATCTTCCCACATAAAAGGATTCACAAGGCCACTTGGGTCTCCCCGGACGGAACAACGGAAAACCAGATTGACCACTTTTGCATCTCCCGAAAGTTTAGACGCTCACTGGAGGACGTCCGAGTCTTACGAGGAGCAGACGTCGCATCAGACCACCATTTGATCCTTGGAAAGATGAAACTAAAACTGAGAAGATATGCACAAGTCGCCGCTGGAAATCGTCTAAAGTATGAAGTGAGCCTTCTGAAAGACCCAGTAAAGAAGAATGAGTTCAAGTTGGAACTGAAGAACAGATTTCAAGCAGCAACAGACGGGCACTTACGGATTGTACACCAGACTACAAGAACTCTTTCAGATAGATTCAGCAAGCCCACTCTACCAGTGAAAGACAAAGAAGGAAAGACTATCTTCAACCCAGAGGGGCAACTTAACCGATGGAGAGAACACTTTGATCAACTATTGAACAGACCACCTCCAGAAAACTAACCAGAAATTCTTCCAGCCAGAAATGACCTCCCGATAGTCACGGAACCACCTTCAAGAGAGGAAATTGCAGCCGCTATAAAAACACTGAAGTCCCACAAGGCAGCTGGTCCCGACCATATACCACCGGAAGCCCTTAAGGCAGATAAAGATTATGTTTGTGGAAATTCTCTATGCTCTATTTGAAAAAGTTTGGCAAAAGGAGGAAATACCATCAGACTGGAAGGAAGGCCACCTAATCAAGCTGCCAAAGAAAGGAGACCTCAGCAACTGTAACAACTGCAGAGGCATTACACTCCTCTGCATACCTGGGAAAGTCTTCAACAGGATACTCCTAAAGAGAATCAAGCTGGCAACAGATGAGAAGCTTCGAGGAAACCAGGCAGGATTCCGCAAAAACCGATCATGTATGGACCAGATCGCTACTCTGCATATCATTGTTGAGCAATCGCTTGAATGGAATTCACCACTCATGGTCAACTTCATTGACTATGAAAAGGCGTTTGACAGCGTGGATAGGGAAACTCTGTGGAAACTCATGCGGCATTTTGGAATACCTGAGAAAATCGTTAAGCTTGTGAAGGCCACCTATGATGGAACAAGCTGCCAAGTCTTCCGAGAAGGACAACTCTCAGAACCATTCCGGGTACAGACAAGAGTGCGACAAGGATTCTTGCTCTCGCCTTTTCTCTTCATACTGGCAATTGACTGGGTCATGAAAGAAGCCACCAGAGGCAAACGTAATGGAATACAATGGCTCCCTTGGCAGCAGCTGGACGACTTAGACTTCGCCGATGACCTTGCACTGCTCTCTCACACACATGCTCAGATGTAAGAAAAGACCAAGGAACTCAACAGCCTGTCAAGGAGTGTTGGCCTACGTATACATCCAGGCAAGTCAAAAGTAGTGAAGCTAGGAAAAGTTTCAAACCTTGCTGTGACAGTGGAAGACACTCCCCTGGAAGAAGTGGACTCCTTTACCTACCTTGGAAGTGTCATCGATGGTAAAGGTGGAATCGAGGCAGATGTTAAAGCAAGAACCGCCAAGGCAAGGTCAGCCTTCAAGCAATTATCAAAAGTCTGGAATGCAAGCAACATCTCACTGCGCACCAAGATTCGACTTTTTAACTCCAACGTCAAGTCTGTGCTCCTCTACGGCTGCGAAACTTGGAAGACAACGAAAACAGTATTGAATAAAGTCCAGACTTTCATCAACAGATGTATGAGGAGTATTCTAAGAATTAAGTGGCAGGATAGAATAAGAAATGAAGAGCTGCGGGAAAGGACAGGACAAAAGGATATAGAAGTAGAAATAGGACTAAAAGAGTGGCGATGGATGGGACACACCTAAAGAAAGCCCAGCGGAAACATCACAAGACAGTCACTGCAGTGGAACCCACAAGGAGCACGAGGCAGGGGTAGGCCACGGGAAACATGGAGGAGATGCGTGGAAAGGGACATGAGAGAAATGAAGCTCACTTGGAACGAGCTTGGAAGGATGGCTCAGGACAGAGATAAATGGAAGGAGCTTGTATGTGGCCTATACCCTGCCAGGGATGAAAGGCATTGATGATGATGATGATGACAGACGAAGAGAGCCATACATATGTTGGTAGCACAAATTCTGCAACGGAAAACTTTCATGAAGAATAAAGCGTTGTGAGGATAACAGAAAAACAGAGAAAATAAACTTTGAAAGAAAAAATGGGCCTGAATCCCATGGAACTACTCATGCTTTGACGGAAAATAATCTTACCAAAACTGGCTAAATTTTTCTAGGAAATTAAACTATTTGAAAAGCAGATCTAGGCTAAACCTCACAAGAGATGGCTGAGGATAAAGAGACGATGCTGATCAAAGAGCAAGCATAGGCCTACGCCTACTCTTCAATCCAAGGTCTCGTTGCAGCTAATCTGGGTATGTATTTTTTCAACGTCACTTCCGGTCGAGCGTCACTCTCAAAACTCCCTCCCAAGGTGCTGCAAGCAGCACCAAGCAGGGCCAACACAATACAAATGGAACACAAAAACACATAAAACTTCGCCATCGTTGTCCAGGACCGTGATAAACATCTGGGGAGAAAGTCAACCAACCCAATGCCCGAAGCTTGTAATCTCTGAAAAAGGAAACAACCCTGCAAAATAAATCATAATCTGAATCTAGATTTAAACGCCATCTAAATTTCGCAATGGCCGACAATGTGATTCGTCGAGAGGTACAGAGGAGAGATGACCCTTTTGGTATCCCGGCCTGCTTTTACTGGACTGTGGACGAGGTTGCTGATTGGATAGACAGTATTGGGTATGGGAAATACAAGGTACGCGTCAATGCCACATACGGCTGTTTTCATTTTGTTTTCTTTAATAGGCGATTCTGTCTGTGCGCCTACAGTCCTACAAGGTACAATTGAAAATGAAGAAAAGGCCTCCCTTTAAAGCTGAAAACGATTTGAATCCGTAATTTTTTGTGTGTGCAGTCCTTAAAATTAGAAAGGTTTAAGAACCCTACTAGATCTAAATGTTGTTGTTCCAGCCAAAGAACCCCTCAAACAAAGAGCACGGGCGTAAATCTATGTTAAACATCAAAATTAAGTAACTAAAAGTAGACTTGTCGTCTAAGATTTTAAACAAGGGAGAAGTCCTATAGATCTAGACTCTAGAACTTACCAGCCGCCTAAGGGCCACTTTCGGCTTATAACCGGAAGCATGTGGTTAAACCTTGATATCAACCACAAATTGAAACCCACGTCGTAAAAAGATGTCACAGAATGATCTCCATTCTTTGGCTGGTATTAGGCAACTGCCAGATTCATTCATTTGGAATGTGTTTACTCGATAAGACATCACATTTGGTGAGACTCAGAGTTGCCCCTTTCCGGCCGCCTATTCGACTATTTGCCTCATACCGGCCACCAGTTTCCCCGATACCGGTCACCAGTTTCCCCGATACCGGCCACCATTAAACCAAAATTCACGCTATAGCATCGTTATTTAGAGGGTTTTTTGTGTTTTCCCCTTTCAACACAATAAATCAACATCTAGTTAGTGTATTTTGTAACTATGAATAAGGGGAGAGGCCGAAGAGCTACCAGGGAACAGAGAATATGAAAACAAGTAACAACTCCACAATCAAAACATGTATTCTCATCGTACTCATGCAACATCCGCTCAAAAACCTCTGCATACTCGTCCCCAGAGCTGTCGATATACTGGACGCCAACAGAATCAGATTCACTCTCACTCTCAGCTTCATAATTTCATTGAGCACATCAGCCCTTCTGTTCTTTATGGACTTTCCCTTTTTTTCCAAGGTGGCCTTTCTCTTTCCTTCTCTTTGGATCTTCTTTCTCTCTTTCTCGGCCTCTTTCTCTACCACATTCATTCTTTTTGCTGTTTCCCTTTCTAGCCTCTTTTTCTCTTTCTCAGCATCCTTTTCCGCCTTCTTTCTAGCGGCCTAGCCCTCTCTCTCTCTCTCTTTCTTTCCTCGATTAAAATTAAAAATTTTTTTAATAAAAATTCCTGGGGGGGGGGGGGGGGGGGGGGGGGGGTGGTTAGGGCGCTACTGGTTGGTCCTACTTTTTTTCTTTCCTTCTTTTGTTTCTATCTGTCTTACTTTTTCCTAGCACTAAATGACCTTTTTTTATTGTGTTGATGTGTTTCTCTTGTCTTAATCAAACAAACAAACAAGTTCACAACACAAATTTTATTATATCTTAGAACTAAAACAAGTTTTGGTAACTTTCTTCTCGTCCGGCCGATAATGGGGCAACACCAGCTAAAATAGCTGCCAGTTACCGGCCACCCCACTCAAACGGTGGGAATTTTATTTTCAACCAGCAGACGCAAATAGACAAGTCAGGCATGATTCAAAATGACTTTCGTTTTCACAAGAGGGCTTCCTGTCGATAATAGGATTGCTCAAAGCTTATTGGTTGACACACCTGGCCTTGTTCGGGGAGGATAACAGTGGCGGCTGAAGTGAGGTGGGGGTTCTGATAACTTTCGATCTCAGCCAAAAAACACAGCAATGGCGCTCCTGTGATGGCGGAAAGGTAGCAGGATAAACAAAGACTGCCCGAGTGCAACAATTGTTGACCAATTGGAACAATTGTTGCATAGAGGTAAGATTTTGTCACGAAAAGTACCGTATGCGCTGAGAGCGGCCGATAATGAGGAGGCGGCCGGTAAGAGGCAATGCACTACTAGAACCCAAAAAAAAAACAACAGAAAAAAGAACAGAAAAGAAAAGAAAAAGAAAGAAAAGGGGGGGGGGGGGATAGAAATTTGATGAGACTATTTCCTTCCATTTCAGTTGTTACATCTTTTGATCCTTTGTTTCCCTTTTCTTTCACAGGAAAATTTCCGATCACACTTCATCAACGGTCGAAAACTTCTAACAGTAGATTCATGCGTCTTGCCAAAAATGGGCATCACGCATTTCGGCGATATTCTGGTGAGTTAACCTTAGAAAGCAAATATTCTGTTCATCTGTTCAATATCAGGACTTAACGTTTTTCTGTATTAAACCATATTAAGAAAAGTTATTATATGTTATAAAGATAATACACAATTAAGTAAGGCCAATGTATCTATGTATCTATGTATCTATGTATCTATGTATCTATGTATCTATCTATCTATCTATCTATCTATCTATCTATCTATATATCTATCTATCTATGTATCTATGTATCTATGTATCTATCTATCTATCTATCTATCTATCTATCTATCTATCTATCTATCTATCTATCTTTCTAAATGATTTTTGACAACCTTATTTAACGGACTCTTTCGTCACGTAAGACCCTTAACAACCCCAGCTTGTTATATATGCTATTATACCGTCATTTTCGCTAAATCCTTTGTCTATTGACGGTAGGTGCATACGTGTATATATCAAAATTTCCTTCCAACTGAAAATATTAGGTGTGTCCCGCGCGCTCATATGACCTATGCAGTTGCGAGCGCCGTAAAACACTTTACAAAAACAAAAAAATACGTGTATATATGGATTTTCCTATCGATATCAGCTGGGAAGATGTGGGAGAGGTGTGCATCCCTAACAGTCTGGTTACTACGTTCATTATTGTCTTCGCGCCTTGACCCTGGCTGAAATCGTCTTTCAGCTCTTAATTTGTTAATTATAAGTGACCCCTGTGATTGTCTGGCTTTGATTCATCGCTTTATTGAGCATTAATTTTGCTTGCCCTGCAATACCAGCACTGCTATTAGATTAAAGGAAAATAAACCACGTTCATTTTGAAGCGATATAAGCATCTTTTCAGGTTTAGTATGGAAACTAAAAGTTGTTTTCCTCATTCTCATTCACAAAAGTGGCCATTATATTATCTCAAAATCTGCTGGTGATACCTGAAAATTATTTAAAGTAGTTACCAGAAAAGGTCCTTTTAAAGGCTTACAAAAATGCAATAAATTACAAAGGTAAATAATAATTACACGTAGACCCTTTTACCAGACACACACACACACGCACACGCACAAACACACACACTCACACACACACACACACACACACACACACACACACACACACACACACACACACACACACACACACACACACACACACACACACACACACACACAAACACACTCAGACACACACATACACACACACACACACACACACACACACACAAACGCACACACACATACCACATAATATCATAATGATTCGTGCCTCAGACTCTGGTCGACGGGAGACAGAAAAAGAGAGTATTAAGGCGGACCGGGTTCACAGGCGGGTTTTAAGGGGCACAACTCAGTTATCACCCTTTGGCTTTCCGTGTTTATTCTGTGGTGTAGGTATGACTCGTATGCGACACTGACGCCAGAGGGAAAATAGGTCTGTGAACTGCTTTGATTGCAAGTGTGAACATGAAGCTTCAGGGTGAATTTAACGAAGAAGCATTGTCACTTTTATTTGATAGCGAATTGAATATATAATAATAATAATAATTAGTCTTTTGTGAAAAGGACAGATAGTTTTTTAAGAAATTAAAAAGCACAGCATCGATTATTTTTTGTTGGTATGATGATCCTTACCTTATCAACTAACTCAAATTCAAATTGATAAACAAAATCACAAAGACTGAAAGCAACCACAAGTTCGCGATGCTGTATTGCCTACTCGCAGTGTATAAATACCGCATCATCCAACTCCCCCCCCCCCCCCCA